ATAAATACTTAAATCATTATGCAAATCAGGTTAGCAATCAACCCCTAGATCATATTTTTCAAAATTGAAACAAATGTTATATGGTTTTGAGAAATATTCGTTTGATTAACAATCATAGGATCGGAAAGTTCACATTCAAGAATATTTGTGTACTCTAATATAGAAATATATTTTTGTTTGTCATCTTGTACAATTTAGTAGTTGTATATTGTTCAAGAAAATGTAGGCAAATATATGTGACTTAGTGCTGAGTACACATGTATTTCTTAGTGAAAGTTGAGATTTCCTCGTTTATAATATAATCTATGGAACTTTATGTGACTACATCTACATAGAATTTGCATGAAAACTTCTCTTAATTTTGTTCTTTACATTTGTGTTAGCATCAAAATCCGCAAGTCTTCGATAAGAACAAAACTAAGAATTGAATGGTCAAGTCTTCTTTTTCTTCCTTTTCAAATTGAATTTCTTAAATTTTAGTATGAATATTAATATTTAAAGTTCATTGTTTAACACTTCAAAGAATGTTCATCCATTTTATATATATAGTGGCTAAACACCAAGACCAACGCCTTTTTTATGTGACGGATATTCGATTTCTCTCCCCGCGGCTGAGGAAAAGTAATCGTTAGATGTGTCGAATAAACTTAAAGCAACCCTAAACATGTTGATCCACTATGACTTTGTAACAATATTTAAGTTGTATATAAAATATTAAACTTCTCATGTTATTATTGTTAGAATTATTTATAATACGGAGGAATTTTGGAAGATATTGTACTTTATAAAAATAAATTAATTTTGAAGGAAATTCCAATGAAAGTTTCGAGCATATTAATCAAAGATTTGTTTACCAATTTATAGAAAGTCAAATACACAACTTTAGTTTGTATAACTTCTTAGTATAAAAAAAATGCTTTGAATATGTACTAGGTCAGAGTTTTTTGAAGCTATAAAAAGGATAACAACGAACATATAATGATCATATAAGTAACTTCAAATTCTAAAAACCATCAATGATGATTACCTCCAAATCTATAGCTCTAATAATAATCTTCCTATTATATCTAGTTTCTTGTGTCTCAAGTCAACGAGAAACTAAGTTTCTTAACCATGGCTTCCTCGGGGCTAATCTCCTCAAGTTCGGCTCCTCCAAGGTTCACCCAAGTGGCCTCTTGGAATTGACGAACACTTCCATGAGGCAGATAGGTCAAGCTTTTCATGGCTTTCCCATACCCTTGTCCAACCCGAACTCCACAAATTCTGTTTCTTTCTCCACAAGCTTCGTCTTCGCCATCACTCAAGGAACCAGCGCACCAGGCCACGGCTTAGCTTTCGTCATTTCACCATCGATGGACTTCAGTGGGGCTTTTCCAAGCAATTATCTGGGCCTCTTCAACACCTCCAACAATGGAAACTCCTTGAATCGCATTCTTGCAGTTGAATTTGACACCGTGCAGGCCGTTGAGTTAAACGATATTGATGATAATCATGTTGGTATCGATCTAAACGGAGTTACCTCCATTGAGTCTGCACCGGCTGCATATTTTGATGACCGAGAGGCCAAGAACATAAGCTTGAGGCTGGCGAGTGGGAAACCAGTAAGAGTCTGGATTGAATACAACGCAACTGAGATGATGCTCAATGTCACGTTGGCTCCTCTAGATCGCCAGAAGCCAAGTATACCTCTTCTCTCGAGAAAACTGAATCTTTCTGGGATTTTATCCCAAGAACATCACGTTGGATTCTCGGCGGCCACGGGAACTGTAGCGAGCTCACATTTGGTTCTAGGTTGGAGCTTCAACATCGAGGGGAAAGAATCAGAATTTGATATCACGAAGCTTCCCTCTCTTCCAGACCCGCCGCCTCTATTATCTCCGTCCCCAAGTCCTCCGGTTTCAGTCAAGAAGAATACAAATAACACAAAGCTCATCATAATTATCGGCGCTGCATCAGCAACGGTTGCAATCATAATCCTGATTCTTTTAGGGTTTTGGGTCTTCCGCAAAGAGAAAATATTCTTCAGCGGAGGTGCAAGGAAATTCTCCCACCAGACAATATCGAGCGCAACAGGAGGTTTCGACAACTCTAAACTCTTGGGAGAGAGAAACTCTGGGAGTTTTTACAAAGGGCAGCTTACTCCCACAGAGATAATTGCCGTAAAGAGAATTACTTGCACCACAAGGCAACAAAAGACAACCCTAATAGCCGAGATCGATGCAATTTCCAAGGTAAAACAACGAAATCTTGTTGATCTGCATGGTTATTGCAGCAAAGGAAACGAGATCTATCTCGTTTACGAGTATGTCCCCAACGGAAGCCTAGACCGGTTCTTGTTCAGCAACGACCGCCCTGTTCTCACCTGGTCAGACCGGTTCTGTATCATAAAGGGCATTGCGTCAGCACTTCAACACCTTCACGGTGAGGGACAAAAACCTCTTATTCACGGAAACGTCAAAGCCAGCAACGTACTCTTAGATGAAGAGCTAAACGCTCGACTAGGAGACTATGGACACGGAAGCAGACACAGCACCACGGGACATGTGGCACCAGAACTAGTCAACACGGGAAAGGCTACACGTGACACAGATGTTTTTGAGTTTGGAGTGTTAATGATGGAGATTGTTTGTGGAAGAAAAGCTATAGAGCCGACAAAGCCACCAGCAGAGATAAGTTTGGTGAACTGGGTGCTTCAAGGGTTCAAGAAAGGGGATTTGTTACAAAGGTGCGACGCAAGAATCAATAGAGAGAATTTGGTGGCTCGAGAAGTGTTGTTGGTTCTGAAAACCGGACTTCTCTGCGCGAACCGATCTCCAGAATCAAGACCAATGATGAAGCAAGTGTTTCGGTTTCTCGATGGAACAGAACCTCTCCCTCATGATGACTACCTCTTCTATGGAGTCTAAATTTGACCTCGGAACGTGTTTGTATCGAAGCGTTTGCGTTTTGAATAGTGTGATTGAAAGATTGGACCAAGATGCATTAATTAAGCATGATGATGTGAATAAAACCTAGAATGGTATTTTACTCAATTTGTAAATTTGAAAATAAAAAATTCTGTTTTTGAGAAATATTCTTGTTGATGGACAATCTTCTACTCTTCGGGGAAAATTAATATTACAAAAAATATATCTTTGATCTAATCTAAATGATGTTTTGTTATGTCATTTTAGGATACATAGCTACGAAACTTTATGTGATGACTTCATATACAAGAATGGAATTTCCATTGAAAACATCTCTATGTTTTTTTAAGCTTATATTAACCTCCGCAAGTTATCAATATGAAGGAAAATTTAAACGCTCAAATTAAGAAATTTAATTCGATGACAAAGTAAGAAGACTGACCATTCAGTTCTTAGTTTCGTTCTTAGTATAAATTTAAATATATGTTTAGAATTCACTACTGTTCAACGCTTTTAAGAAGTGTTCATCCATTTCTTTATCCGATAGTGGCTAATATTAATAATGGATTAGTTAAAACAATTAGTAAATTATAATTTTCAGAAGTATCCATAATGAAAATTCTCATCATTACCAGAGGTTGATAACTCGACTGGAAATGTACCCTCATAAATTTTAAGAGGTTACAGAATGAGTGGCAGTTGGGACAAAAAATATTAAAGACTAGCCGAGAGGCCCCAGACCTAGGGAAATATATAGGTTTCGGTCCGGAACTTCCTAGTTATAAAAAAATATCTCATTAGTTAATTATGCAAGAAAATTATAAAGTGATTAACCCTAAAGTAAATACGAAATATGACTTTTTTGTTCGCTAATATACCGCTTAAAAATGTTGGATACACTAACTTTAATTTGAACTATATAGATGGTATAGAATATATAATTTCTTACTTTATTGTTGCAATTATATTTTATTCAGGAAGAAATTGTTGAGGAAACTCCAAATGAATTTTCAAGGATATCAATAAGGGATTTATTTAGCAATTTATAAAAGTCAACTTAAGTTTGGTTAACTTTCCTAGCATAAACAAAAATGTTTGAATGATGTTAAGAAAAATAAACAAAAAGAGTTTGAACATGAAAAGGTCGAATATTTTGAAGCTATAAAAAGAGAGTAATGAACATGCCAACATAATTAAGTAATTCTAAAAACCATCAATAATGATTACCTCCAAATCGATAACTTTATCAATAATCTTCCTATTATACCTAGTTTCTTGCGTCTCAAGCCAGCGAGAAACCAAGTTTCTAAACCATGGCTTTCTCGGGGCTAATCTCTTGAAGTTTGGCTCCTCAAAGATCCACTCGAGTGGCCTCTTGGAGCTGACAAACACTTCGATGAGGCAAATTGGTCAAGCTTTTCATGGATTTCCCATATCCTTCTTAAACCCAAACTCCTCCAATTCAGTATCTTTCTCGACGAGTTTCGTCTTCGCCATCACTCCAGGACCAACGACACCAGGCCACGGCTTGAGCTTCGTTATCTCTCCGTCGATGGACTTTACTGGAGCCTTTCCCAGCAATTATCTTGGCCTTTTCAACACATCCACCAATGGAAACCCCTCAAACCGCATTCTCGCAGTTGAGTTCGACACGGTGCAATCAGTTGAAATGAAAGATATTGATGATAATCACGTAGCCATCGACCAAAATGGGGTGGTCTCCATTGAATCTGCCCCGGCTGCATTTTTCGATGACCGCGAGGCGAAGAACATAAGTCTGAAGCTGGCAAGTGGGGAGCCAATAAGAGTTTGGGTCGAATACAACGCAACTGAGATGATACTCAATGTCACATTAGCTCCTCTAGATCGTTTGAAACCAAGCTTGCCTCTCCTCTCTCGAAAACTAAATCTCTCGGGGATTATCTCTCAAGAGAATTATATTGGATTCGCTGCTGCCACGGGAACCGTTACGAGCTCACATTTTGTGCTAGGCTGGAGCTTCAGCATCGAAGGGAAAGCATCAGACTTTGATATTACAAAGCTTCCTTCTCTTCCAGACCCACCACCGCCATTTTCTCCATCCCCAAATCCTCCGGTTTCAGCCAAAAAGAATTCGAACAACACGAAGTTGATCATAGTCTTCGTTGCATCAGGAACATTTGGACTCATGTTCTTGGGCTTCTTAGGAGTTTGGGTTTTCCGTAGAAATAATACATTCTTCACAGGAGGTGCAAGAAAATTCTCCTACCAGACGATTTCAAGTGCAACAGGTGGCTTCAACAGATTTTTAGGAGAAGAAAACTCCGGACGTTTCTTCAGAGGTCAGCTAGCACCAACGGAGATAATCGCGGTAAAGAGAATTACTTGCAGCACAAGGCAGCAAAGGCTTTCCATGATAGCTCAAATCGATGCAATCTCCAGGGTTAGACATAGAAACCTTGTTAATCTAATTGGATACAGCAGCAGAGGAAACGAGATCTATCTTGTTTACAAGTATGTTCCTAACGGCAGTCTTGATCGCTTCCTGTTGAGCAATGAGCGACCAGTTTTAAACTGGTCAGATCGGTTCAATATCATAAAGGGGATTGCCAAAGCATTGCAGTACCTTCACAGTGAGTGTCAGAGTACTCTCATTCATGGAAACGTCAAAAGCAGTAATGTGCTCCTCGACGAAGAGCTGTGCGCTCAGCTTGGAGATTATGGGCAAGGAAACAGGCAAAGCAACACAGGTCATGTAGCTCCAGAGCTTGTTGAGACAACGGCAGCACACACACGTGACACGGATGTGTTTGCATTTGGAGTGCTAATAATTGAGATTGTATGTGGACGTACTGCAATTGAGCCGACAAGGCCACCAGAAGAGATCAGTTTGGTAAATTGGGTGCTTCAAGAGTTTAGGAAAAACAAGTTGCTCGAGTGTTGCGATGCACGAATCAATCGAGAGGAACTGGTGGCCCGGGAAGTGCTACTCGTTCTTAAATTAGGACTTCTATGTACAAACCGATCTCCGCAAGTCAGGCCAGTAATGAGAAAAGTGGTACAGTATCTTGATGGTACTGAACCACTCCCTCATGACGACTAAATCTTCCATGGAGTATAACAAGGAAACTATACAAACAACTCATAAGGTGTCCTTATATGGAGTTGTGTTGCAGCGATTACGTTCTGGGTAGTGTGAAAAAAGATTGAACCCAGACACAAACGCATAATTTATAAATAATACTATCTGTATGATATTCTTTCTTCTACTAAATTGCTTTTGTGATTACAAAGTGAAAAACAAGAATTGTTATTGCAAATCCTATAAGGTAAAGCCTTTGCTAATCTAAGATGCCAGAAAAGTGATTGTGTACTTCAGCTGAGTGAGTCCAGGCACAAATGAGAGGATCCGTAATATAGCCACTTTCTTAACCAATTCCTGTAGTTGACACTATAGTCTCATGACTCTCATAGTCTCATCTATAAACAAATCTCAGAGGACAACGAAGTTTCAGTATAACATTGGAATTTCAACTAATCCAATATGATTACCACAAGCAACCGCATAAGCTTGTGGAGCATTAGCATTCTCCTATCAACCCAAACACAATAATTCCCAGACAATCACAATACCAAATTTCCATAAAGAGACTACTCAATGCAAGAAACTATTACCAGAATATCAGAGCCATGAATGTCTGCATAAAGTCTGCACTCAAGAATAGCAGAGTAATTGTCACTTGTCCAATTTTGCTGCCACCAACAAACAGACCACATAAGAAAGTTTGAACATGTAAGAAAAAACACAACATAGAGGGATAAATCTAGCAAGGGATTGTATCTTAAAAGATGATGTTCAAATAACGCTGGATAAGGACTTAGTGGCTGATGCCCTTCTTTGCTTTCAGTGACTCAAGTGCTTTGTTTCGCAACTCAATTTCAAGCCTCTTTGGATCAGACTCCTCCCCTTTTTTATTCTTAGGACGGGCTTCAGCTTCTCCCTCTGAAGTATCAGATAGCTCTCGATTCTTATGTTTCTCCTTTCCACCACGACGTTCTTCCCTTTTACGACGTCTCTCCTCTCGCCTACGTTTCTTCTCCTCCTTTCTCGTTTTCTTCTCCTCCTTCCTCCTCCTTTTAGCCTCCTTCCTATCATCTAGGTCAGAATCAGAACTGACATTATCATCTGAAGATACTTCTTCCCTCGAAGACCTTTTATTCTTTCTTCTCTTTTTATCCTTAGTTCGATGTCTGCTGCTTTCCTTAGAATCAGAGGAAAGGTTTGCATCCAGGTCGCTGTTATCCTCGTTCTCAACCTGCTCACTGTCTTTCACTTTACCAGAAACAGCCCGACTCTTTCCTTCTGAATTTTCTACTGGGGACATCTGTGAACCACGGGTTTTATAACCGGAACGCCTCTCTGACAACTTATCACTGTTAAGAAGTTGAATAGACCAACATTTATCAGACCTTGAAATTTGAAGTCAAACGAAAATCATATGGGAAAAAGGAAAAGAAACAAAATGCACCTCTTTCTCTCTTGCTCCTTATAATGTTCTACACGCCCAACTTCTATCACCTCCTCTGGTAATTGTTTCCTCTTGACAGTATCAGGCACTGAAGTTCTCTTTAACAGCTTGGAATTTTGAACCCTGTCACAATGCGAAAGCAGACAGAGGGTCAAGGAGTTAACAAGTACAGAGAAGAATCTGCATGTATCTTAGAACAGTTTATACCACCTTATTTAAAAAGGCATTTACACAAATGTAAATGGAGTCATGAAGAGCATACCTATCTTGTTCTTCAGATAGATGCCCAGGAGATCTTCTGTCCCTCTGATGTTTTCTTCCACATGGAGAAGGAGATCTATGAAGAACAGGAGGTGATCGAGACATAGAAGGAGACCTGCTCGAAGATGGAGACCGTCTCCTACGTCTGTCATCAGGTGATCGTGAAGCAGATGGAAATCTTCGACTTCGCCGGTTGACAGGTGTTGGTGATCTGCGGCGAACAGGAGAGCGCGCTTTCTGATGTAGAGAAGGAGAAGATTTACCTCGACCCCTAACAGGTGACATAGATCCACCTTGCTTGACATGCGAAGGGGATTCTGCTTCATGGCGTCCAGCTGGTGACAGGGAGACTCGCTCTTCAGCAGGTGTCAGTGAACTACGTCTTCTAACAGGTGGAGATGGTAAAACTTTTTTCCTACCAGGAGGGGACAGTGAACTGGGTCTGGGTGATGGTGATTCCAGGTGATTGGCTGCATGAGATCCTCCAACCCTCATTGGCGAAGGTAATCCTGCACGCCTAGGGGGTGGTGAAGGCAACCTTTGCCCAGCGGGTGGTGAAGGCAACCTTTGCTCAGCCGGTGGTGAAGGCAATCTTGCCCCAGTGGGATCCCTGCGCCTAGCCACTGGTGACGGAGACCTCTCTTGTGAGTCAGACCTTCCCCGCTTAACCAGTGGTGACCGTGACCTGTTACGCCTATAGAGTGGAGATGGAGACCTGCGCCGCCTAGCTGGCGGTGAAGGAGACCTACGCCGCCTAAAGGGCAGTGGAGAACGGCGACGCCTAGCAGGGGGCGATGGTGACCTGCGCAGCCTAGCAGGTGGTGATGGTGACCTGCGCCTCCTAGCAGGTGGGGATGGTGACCTGCGCCTCCTAGCAGGTGGGGATGGTGACCTGCGCCTCCTAGCAGGTGGGGATGGTGACCTGCGCCTCCTAGCAGGTGGAGATGGAGAACGGCGACGCCTTGAAGGGGCTGGTGATTGACGGCGTCCCTCAGGCGTAGGTCGCCTGTGACGTCTAATAGGTGACCGCGACCTGCTTCCGTAAGGAGAATGTATCCTACGTCGCCGAGGAGATAGAGACCTACGCAGGGAACGTGATCTGGATCTACGTCTTGAATTCGACAATCTCTGCTTTCTAGGTGAGATGGAGGCATCTGATGATTGAGAAGAGCTCCTGGATTTCCGTTCACTGTTATACAAGTAGACAGTCATTAGCAAAAACTGCACTAGGATTTACAGGAAATAATAGATACAGAACTAGCAAGTTCGGCATCACAGGCTGCAATTTCTTTGAATTAAGAAAAACAATTGTGGAAGGCTGCATACCCAGAATAACTTTTCGAGCCTGAATTTGTTTTGCTGATAGACCTAGAACGTGACCCTCTGCAAAGCAACCAATCAATAAACTCACTCAATTATATAAGCTAATTGTATTAGAAAAAACAAAAGTATTGAAGAGTCACCTAAGGGGTGAGCGGGATGCATCTCTGCCACGTGGAGGTATCAGATCCCTGCATCAAGGAGGCAATGTCAGAACCCACTCACATAATAATCTTGGCCACAAACAAATTCCTGGACCACCAGCACACCAAATGAACATGCAAAGCACCAGTAGCATAACTAAAAATGCTAAAAAACTAACAGCCATTGGTAGAAATACTTGATCAAATCATGCCAGCGAGAACTTATAGAGATAATCCATGTGCAACAGAAGGATGAACTCAATCAGGAATAAAGAACACAAGGGCATACAGTGATGAGTAGAAAGCAGCTATGAAATCATAGGCATTAAGAGAACTCTACCTTCTCCTTTCTTTTACACCATTCTTCTCGTCAGCCCTTCTCCCATCCTCTGGACGATCTCTTGAAGGTTTTGTATCCATGCCATTTGTCTCCTTGTGTTTTACACCGCTGTCCTACAGTAGTTTGAGGTAAAGCACATGAACCCTAATAATTGCAGAAGCTATCTGAATAACATGAAAGAACAGGCGAATGTTAAAACCAGAAGAGCATCTGTAAAGACTGAAACTCTAGCATGAATAAGACTGTCTTACTATTTTCCTCAATATATCATGCTCAGGGTTCTTCTTCTCTCCCTCCCTCTTCCTCTCTATTTCATTTGCTAACCGATCTGCTTTTTGTATGGCTTCTTCCTGCCACAAAAGGAAAATAAATCATGAGACAACAGGAAAGAGAAAAGTCATTCATCATCAATCCAGAATGACTTCCCAAGAATACCTGTTTCTTCTTTGTTTCAGCTTCTCTAGCATCTAAAAACTGCTGTGGAACACCACTTGAATTATTCTGTGCGCTTAGAAGAAGTGTCCAAAGTTCTTTCATAAACTTGCCAGTATTTTTCTCCATGAATCCAGTTAGCGATATCTGAATCTCCTTACCATTCACTACCTACATTATGAACGTTCAATTAGATATTAGTCCAACAAAAAAAAGCTCACTTGTATCAATGGCATGGGCTAATAAAAGCTCAGTCATAAGCTTACCTTCCCATCAAGAAGACCATAGATAAAGTTAATCAGCACTTCATCTTCAAAACCAAGAAGCTCAGTGACTCTAGTCGCAATCCAAGGCTTCATAACATCCATCTTCACTTTAGTCACATCCACCTAACACCAAATCCAAGCAGAGAATATCATTAAGCCCTCATATGTATTGAATTATCCAATAATTGAATCTCAATTAAGTAATTCAACCTACGAATTCACAATTCAACTCACCAGATTCTCCAACTCCGGAGCAAATTTCTGACTCTTCATCAATTTGGCTTGCTTGTTAGAAAACCGAGTATCTTGCTCGGCGGAAGTACCCTAAAAAAAACTCAAAACAAGGAAGAATCAGAGAGAGCGTAATCGAAACCTAGCTTCTACAAACATACGATGAAGAAACTTGAATTGCATCGATCTGGATGTAAAAGATGATACATCAAATTCGATAAAGAAGATGATCGGAAAACTCACCCGGAAGAAACCGCCGGACATAGTTTAGGGTTTGTGGAAACACTCGCTCTTCGCTGGAAGAAAGATCGAAGCTTGATAGAGATTTGTGCTTGTGTAGAAGAAGTATCGGCAGATGTGAAAAAAGGGAGATTTTGAAGAGTTTTTACGAGCCCTAGCTCTATTGGACTCACTTAATTTTGTTATTCCATTGTTACCCTCAGAGTTGTTGAATATTACGTTATTGCCATTTGTGGGAACATTCGTAAAAAGAAAGCAAACATAACTTATGGGCTTAAGGCCCAAAGCAAACCTAGTCTTAATTAATCTCGTAGGTCTATTGCTCTTGAATGATAAAAGATTATCTTATTGAATCAGGCACTTTTGGAAGTGATTTTTTTCTTCTAAAACGAACAGTGTGTCACGGAAACTTATGTTAATTGTGTGGACAGATTAAGCAACTGAAAATGGTTTTAGGTTAAGTAGGGTTGGTAGATGAAGTTAATAAGAGATGGAAGGTGATAGTTGAAAGACGAAAGTGTTTGAGGTTTAATAGATAGAACATAGGATAAGGATGATAATAAATGTGTTACAAAGTGAGGAAGAGATATGAGAGTTTCTGGAGCTGAGGTAAATTATCATGGATGTTTGTATAGACATTATTTTGTTTATCTAGTTTGGTGGAAACATTGATAATTTAGAGTGTAAAACAACCATAAATAGTATAGTTAAAACTTAAGTAGGATGAAGTTAAATCAAGTAATTTTTGTTTTATGTTGTTTGCTTTGTTTTTTTATTTTTGTGTGTTAATTGATTAAAGTTGGTTGTTGGGATAATGTGGAGAAAGATAGCAAAAAGGGTGGATTTTATGTTGAGTTTGTTCATTGATTTTTGTTTGTATTTGATTAAAGGAAAATACGTTGACTTTTGTTTGTTTGGTTATATGTTTTGTGGCTATAGAAGGTGGCCAAAGAAGTCCTTGTTTAAGTAGACGAGTGGGACTGCTCATAGGATGGTGTGGACAAGAAATGTATGACACAAGAACAATTCTTGGGTTCACCCCTAGGGGTGAACCACTTTCATTCACTCCCTCTTAATTATCCAATTAGAATTTGCCATGTCATTTAGTTAAAAAAATTAAAACAATTATTTTTTAAATATAACCATAAGATTAAGTCATAACCACTCTTTTATAAACCCAAACCGATATATAATCTCGTTTAATTACAAAATCTAAACCCTAATTCTCTTTTGTAAACCCAAACCGTCATTTAAATTCGTTTAATCGTAAAAAATCTAAACCCTAATCGTACTTTCTAAACCCAAACCGACACTTAACCTCGTTTAATTGTAAAATCTAAACCCGTTTATAAACCCAAACCGATAGTTAAACTCGTTTAATCATAAAATCTAAACCCTAATTCTCCTTTGTAAACCCAAACCGTCATTTAAACTCGTTTAATCGTAAAAAATCTAAACCCTAATCGTACTTTCTAAACCCAAATCGAGACTTAACCTCGTTTTATTGTAAAATCTAAATCCGTTTATAAACCCAAACCGATAGTTAAACTCGTTTAATCATATTTCTAATAAACTTAAACCAATACATAATTTCGTTTTAGTGGCAAATTAAATTTTATAATTAAATAATTTTTTTTATTATTAATAGGTGGCAGATTTTGATTGGATGAAATAAAGGGGGTGAATATAAAAGGTTCACCCAAGTATTTTTCATGACACAATGCATTTAAATTGTGGAGTAAATGACCTACAATGTGTCGAAATGGCATATTGAGTGAGAGTTTGAGGTGACGGGAAAACCTTTGAAGCGAAAGTATTGTATTGGCTATCGAGTGATATGTTAGTGGTTTTTTTTTTTGGAAAATCCTCCTGACTCCATCAAAATGACATAGGATTGCAAAAGGTTATAAAGTAGTTAAGTAGCTAGGAATAGTGATGAAAAGACTAAACTTGTTGTAACCTAGACAAATTGTTGTGTGATATAAATAATCTGCTAATATACGTAAATACAACATTCCATGATTAAAAAAAAAACCCCATTTTCATGCTTGAAGAAGAGACTCCATCATATGACATGGCGGACTTGAAAAAGTGAAAGCGAAACTACTGTTGAGGGATATTTAACCAAAAAACATATATGAAACAACTAGTGGAATTGACCTAATTAAATTTCATTTTAGAGGATAAAGAGATGGTTGCTTGAAGGCGGTGGAAGCAATGACGAAAAAGGGTCAAAAATGATATATGAAGAAAGAGAAAGGAAAAATTACATACGTTGGTAATCTTAAAAGTGAAATAAAGTAGAGTAATGAGTAGCAACTAGCAAGTAGCAACTAGTAACCTGATGGAACAGAGAATTGATAAGACTATGACTATAAGTTTGGGGGTGCAACAAGATGAGAGAGTTGAGTTTGGCCAGCCATCCTATGGCATTAGAATTACTTATGTTTCTAAGACTATAGATGAAAGTATGGGTAAAAACCAAATAAGAGTTGTTTGACATAGAAGTATGCAAATGAAAATATGAGAGCAATGACTATAGTTATCTTTAATATTGTGTTAGATGAGCTCTCAGCTCCATGTTTCAATGATTATAGCTATAAATACGAATTTCACCGGATCTTTGCCGAGAAAAAATAAAGCAAGTTTCACAAGTATCTTCGCCGACAAAAGATAAGCAAAGTCTTATTAGTTTCTCAAAGTCGCGGGTAAGAAAAAAAATATTAGAGAAAATATATTGTAAGTATCATGATTTTGTGTACTTTGTCATTCTCCTATTTTAATTATTATAAAATCTTAAGATTTTAAGAATAAACCAAAATGTTGGGGTTAGAAAGGTGTATTAAAAAATGTTTAGGAACAAGTCATATTTGATTTAAAAAAATAAAAAATAAAATAGAAACTTTTGCAAAACCTAAAACTTAAGGTACTTTTAGAAATGTTCCAAAATTGAGGTATTGTAAAAAAAAAAAAAAAACTTACACAAAATTAATGTATTATTTACTAATTTTGTACTTAAAAATCCAAAAGATCCTGTCATCTAGAAGTGTACTTTAGTAAGCTCTCTTCTGCTCTAAAACCCAAACTGAAACAAAAGACAAAAAAAAAAAGATCTCAAAACAGTTCCAACGAGAAAAATAAGGTTTCGTAGTTATCTTCCAATTTTTCATTTTTTTACTTTTTTAAAATTAATGCTTTTTCTCATTCCTTTATTCAATCGCTAAGTCAAACCAACCCTAATATAATTAAGGAATCGGCGTAATTTTTTTAATTTCCATAGTTAAATCATAAAAAAGCACAAAAACCCTAAGGTTTCTTGCATCGCCGTCGTATTTTTCCCGTCAACACTATAAAACCCACTTTTTTTCTATCTCTCTCAATCTAAAGTCTTTGTTAGGGTTCTTTATTTTTAAAACAAACAGTAACCAGGAAAAAAAAATCAAATCATCGATACAATCTTTGGAATGGATTTGAGTATTGCTTAATAAAGTTTTGATCTTTTGGGGTTTGTTCTAAAAACAGAGAATTTTGGGGATTGTATATATTGAGAGGTATAAAGTTTTGATCTTTATGATTTTTTCTTGATGGTATGAGTATTATCTGATGAATTGATTTTTGGGTTTTTTGTTGTTTAGGTGATAATGATACCGGAACTAGGGAGAAGACCGATGCATAGAGGTAACGAAGATTCATCTTTTGGGGATGATTATGAGAAAGAGATTGGAGTATTACTTGGTGAGCAGCAGAGAAGGCAAGTAGAAGCTGATGAGCTTGAGAGAGAGCTTAACTTGTATAGAAGTGGCTCTGCCCCACCGACTGTTGATGGTTCTGTTAGTGCTGCCGGAGGGCTTTTTAGCGGCGGAGGTGGGGCTTCTTTATTGGAGTTTGGTGGAGGCAATAAGGGTAATGGGTTTGGTGGTGATGATGAGGAGTTTAGGAAAGATCCGGCTTACTTGTCTTATTACTATGCTAATATGAAGTTGAATCCGAGGTTGCCACCGCCTTTGATGTCTAGGGAGGATTTGAGGGTTGCTCAGAGGCTTAAAGGGAGTAGTAATGTTTTAGGTGGTGTTGGTGATAGGCGAAAAGTTAATGATAGTCGATCTTTGTTCTCTATGCCACCTGGTTTTGAGGCTGAGAAAACTGGTGCTTCTGCTTCTGAGTGGGATACTAATGGGTTGATTGGTTTACCGGGTTTGGGGCTTGGAGGCAAGCAGAAGAGTTTTGCTGATATCTTTCAGGTTGGTGATAATTTGTTAATGTTTTCTCTCTGAGATAATTCTCTCTGTATGTGTGTATTTCTCTGTACAGCTATGCAGCAGATATTCTTGCTTATGTAAACTTTGTGGATTGCTTTTGTGCAGGCCGATATGGGGCATGGACATCCCGTCGCTCAGCAGCCCTCACGTCCTGCAAGTCGTAATACCTTTGATGAAAATGTTGACTCTAAGAATAATCTGTCTCCATCTGCATCACAAGGCATTGGTGCACCATCTCCATACAGCTATGCAGCTGTTCTGGGCTCTTCTTTGTCTAGAAATGGAACTCCAGATCCACAGGCCGTTGCTAGGGTGCCTAGTCCCTGTCTTACTCCCATTGGAAGTGGGAGAGTGAGTTCAAATGATAAGAGGAACACAAGTAACCAAAGCCCGTTCAACGGTGTTACATCTGGACTCAACGAGTCTTCTGATCTTGTCAATGCTTTATCTGGCATGAACCTGTCTGGCAGTGGCGGGTTAGATGAACGTGGTCAGGCTGAGCAAGATGTCGAAAAGGTCAGGAACTATATGTTTGGAATGCAAGGTGGGCATAACGAAGTCAATCAACATAGGTTCCCAAACAAATCTGATCAAGCCCATAAGGCAACTGGCTCGTTGAGGGATTCACAATTGAGAGGGCCACAAGGATCTGCCTATAATGGTGGAGTTGGATTAGCTAATCCTTACCAGCATCAGGATAGTCCAAATTATTGTCTCAACAATTATGCATTAAATCCAGCTGTAGCTTCTATGATGGCTAACCAACTTGGGAACAATAATTTTTCTCCAATGTACGATAATGTATCCGCAGCATCCGCTTTGGGTTTTTCTGGAATGGACTCCAGACTTCATGGAGGAGGCTTTGTATCTTCTGGTCAAAACCTCTCTGAATCACGTAATCTTGGCAGGTTCAGTAATCGAATGATGGGAGGAGGTACTGGTCTCCAGTCACATATGGCAGACCCAATGTATCATCAGTATGCTGATTCGCTTGATCTTCTCAATGATCCTTCGATGGACAGGAACTTTATGGGTAGTTCTTACATGAGTATGCTTGAACTCCAGAGGGCTTTTCTCGGAGCTCAGAAATCACAGTATGGTCTTCCTTACAAATCAGGGAGTCCTAACAGCCATAGCTATTATGGCAGTCCAACATTTGGGTCTAATATGTCATATCCTGGCAGCCCATTGGCTCATCATGGTATGCCAAATTCTCTTATGTCACCTTATAGCCCTATGAGACGAAGTGAAGTTAATATGCGATATCCGTCTGCAACAAGAAACTACTCGGGAGGGGTAATGGGTTCTTGGCACATGGATGCTAGTTTGGATGAAGGCTTTGGATCTTCAATGCTTGAAGAGTTCAAAAGTAACAAAACAAGAGGATTCGAACTTTCTGAAATAGCTGGCCATGTTGTAGAGTTCAGGTATTTCCTTGAAAGTCTTTTACATTTTTTTTGTGTACAATTTGTCCCAAGCTAACGCGTACTTGGGGATTTTCTTGACCAGTTCGGATCAATATGGAAGCCGGTTTATTCAGCAGAAACTGGAGACTGCAACAACGGATGAGAAAAACATGGTTTATGAGGAGATCATGCCACAAGCTCTTGACCTGATGACTGACGTTTTTGGAAACTATGTGATTCAGAAGGTAGATTTATTTAGTCTTCCTCTTTGGTTTTATTTTAGAGTTAAGACATAGTAACATACTAACATGAGAGATTCCTGAATTTTGCTTATCTTCCTACAGTTCTTTGAGCATGGACTCCCACCACAGAGGAGAGAATTGGCAGAGAAACTCTTTGACAATGTTTTGCCTCTTAGCTTACAGATGTATGGTTGTCGTGTCATCCAGAAGGTAAACTCTAGTTCTCACCTGTTTTACTGTTCTCTCCATTTTCAAGAACAGTTAGAGTTTCATTATTTTTCACATGTTTACCTTTTTAGGCAATTGAGGTGGTTGATCTAGACCAGAAAATTAAAATGGTGAAAGAACTTGATGGACATGTGATGCGATGTGTACGTGATCAGAATGGGAACCATGTGGTTCAAAAGTGTATCGAATGTGTCCCTGAAGAAAACATCGAGTTTATTATTTCAACTTTCTTTGGCCATGTGGTGACCCTCTCCACTCACCCATACGGGTGCCGTGTTATTCAGGTTCTTGCTATTGGTGATTAAGAAAAGATGACACCTTATTTTGATGTTATGCTTCTATGTAAAACTCTTTTTCATCTCCTGTTGCAGAGAGTTTTGGAACACTGCCATGACCCTGATACGCAGAGTAAGGTTATGGAAGAAATCCTATCCACTGTTAGTATGCTGGCCCAAGATCAGTATGGAAACTATGTTGTTCAGGTTTGTAAAAGATATGAGTTTTACTGCATTTGCTTCAAATCAAAGTGATTTTATACTTTGCTCAAAACTGATACACGTTTTGTGGACAGCATGTACTGGAGCATGGAAAGCCTGATGAACGCACTGTGATAATCAAAGAGTTGGCGGGGAAGATTGTTCAGATGAGTCAGCAAAAGTTTGCATCAAACGTTGTTGAGAAATGTTTGACTTTTGGAGGTCCTGAGGAACGGGAATTGCTCGTGAATGAGATGCTGGGAACAACTGATGAAAACGAGCCTCTTCAGGTCTATCAAACACTTATTTTCAGATGATTATCGGGGAAAATAAAGAAACTATCAGCTCATAAACTTCTTCTTCTTGGTATATAGGCGATGATGAAGGATCAGTTTGCAAACTATGTAGTGCAGAAAGTTTTGGAGACATGTGATGACCAACAACGTGAGCTGATCCTTACTCGCATCAAAGTGCATCTTAATGCTTTAAAGAAATACACTTATGGAAAGCATGTCGTTGCGCGTATTGAAAAACTCGTTGCTGCTGGAGGTATGTATATGTTCCTCGATGAGTCTAAAGTTTGGCCTTTATCTGCTACAAACCTCCCAAATTGTCTTTACTGCATTGATTTCTATAAGTATTTGAGAAAGAGAGACAAAATAAGCATTTCTATGGCATTTCATTGTCTCTAAGTGGCTCTTTTCTTATATGCAGAGAGGAGAATGGCTTTGCAGTCCCTAACCCAGCCTCAGATGGCTTAAGGCCTCAAGTAATGTACAGCTTAACTAGGGGGGATGGGACTGTCGTAGCGTTTTGAGAGTTAGGTAAGATCTAAACCGGAAAATAATCTGTGGGGAAATTGTGAAGGAGAGCTTTGTTTTCTCTGCAAAATCTGTAAAATTGTGTAGTTGCTTACGGTTTTTCTATACATAGAACCAATTATCCCTCTTTAGGCTGATGAGTGAGAGAGAAATAAGGCAGAGAATGGTGTAAAGATGGGTTGAGGATTTTAGGGTTTCCTTCACACAAAAGAGAATGGCTTTTTCATTGCCAAATGTGTAGAAGTGAGAATATGTTCATGCTTTTAGGACAATCCCAGTTTTTAGAGTTTTTTCTCCATCTATGTAATTTGTTTCATCAAACTCTTGTTTTTCTATTTCACGAGGAACTCTTTTGTTTCTGGTATTTTGCAATCTTGTTGTTTATATCAATCAAGTTGATTGGTACACAATAAACATATCCTAGATGTAACAATGGAACAAAACCATTCACGATCATTGTCGGTGTCACCATCTTCAATCTTCTGACCAAAACCTCTTGCTCCTGCTTTGGCTCTCATTGCCTTCCTTTGACCACATTTCTTAGACTTCTTCGTCTTTCTCAAACTTCTCTCTCTACCCTTCCCAAGAAACTCCAGTCACTCCAATGTACACAACCTGTTAAAATTTATTCACAGGATCTCAAAACCGGTTTTAAAAATCCACAAACCATGTTTCAGGTTTGGTTCTTACAAATAGATATGGATAAGATTGGTTTGATAAAACTTACACCAATGGTGAGAACAGTAAGAGCAAGAAATACTACAAAAAGAAGCACTTGTATAATCAAAACAACACCAACTTGTCCACCACTTGACACAATAGCTTCAGAAGAAGAAGAAGAAGAAGAAGAAGAATTAGAAGTAACGATCTCTTGGAGAAGATGAAGCAGGAAAATTCTTTAGTATGCTGAACCAGTAGAAGAAAGCAAAGTGGCAAGAAGACTCTTGTGGGAAGAGAGGGTCTCAAGGGAGAAAGAGACAAAGTGTGTTGTTCTTACATTGTTGCCTTAAGTGTTGTCGTTTAACAAGAAGTGTCATGTGTCTGTGTATTTAAGGGACTCCGAAATGTTAGGGTTTCCTTATGCAAAACAATACAACAATTATTAATCTCAAAATTCTTCCTTCCATTTCTATCTCTCTCACTCTCTTTCTCTCTCGATCTTCTTCTTCTTCTATTGATAGGCTCAGTATCGGATTTTTCGTCAACACTATAAAACCCACTTTTTCTATCTCAAGCTTAAGTCTTTTTTTTAGGGTTCTTTACTTTACAACAAACAGTGACAAGAAAAATCAAATCATCGATAGAATCTCAGGAATGGATTAGAGTATCGCTTAGTAAAGTTTTGATCTTTGGGTTTAGTTCTACAACAGAGAATTTTGGAGATTGTATATATTGAGAGGTATAAAGTTTTGATTTTTATGCTTTATTTCTTGAAGAGTTTAGTGTGTATATGAGTATAATCTGATAAAGTGATTTTAGGGCTTTTGTTGTTTAGGTGATAATGATACCGGAACTGGGAAGAAGACCGATGCATAGAGGTAACGAAGATTCATCTTTTGGAGATGATTATGAGAAAGAGATAGGAGTATTGCTTGGTGAGCAGCAGAGAAGGCAAGTAGAAGCTGATGAGCTTGAGAGAGAGCTTAACTTGTATAGAAGTGGCTCTGCTCCTCCGACTGTTGATGGTTCTGTTAGTGCTGCCGGAGGGCTTTTTAGCGGCGGCGGTGGGGCTCCTTTTTTGGAGTTTGGTGGAGTTAATAAGGGTAATGGGTTTGGTGGTGATGATGAAGAACTTAGGAAAGATCCGGCTTACTTGTCTTATTACTATGCTAATATGAAGTTGAATCCGAGGTTGCCACCGCCTTTGATGTCTAGGGAGGATTTGAGGGTTGCTCAGAGGCTTAAAGGGAGTAGTAATGTTTTAGGTGGTGTTGGGGATAGGAGAAAAGTGAATGATAGTCGATCTTTGTTCTCTATGCCACCTGGTTTTGAGGCTGAGAAAACTGGTGCTTCTGCTTCTGAGTGGGATGCTAATGGATTGATTGGTTTACCGGGTTTGGGGCTTGGAGGCAAGCAGAAGAGTTTTGCTGATATCTTTCAGGTTGGTCATACCTATTCTTATTACGACAACACTTCTTGTTCACTTTCAGTTGTCTGTAGTTTATTATGCTTCGATGCTTTGTAAATATTTTCTCTGTGTGTGTGTTGTGTATATTTCTCGATGATATTCTTGCTTATGTAAACTTTGTGGGTTGCTTTTATGCAGGCCGATATGGGGCATGGACATCCCGTCGCACAGCAGCCCTCACGTCCTGCAAGTCGTAATGCCTTTGATGAAAATGTTGACTCTAAGAATAATCTGTCTCCATCTGCATCACAAGGCATTGGTGCACCATCTCCATACAGCTATGCAGCTGTTCTGGGCTCTTCTTTGTCTAGAAATGGAACTCCAGATCCACAGGCCATTGCTAGGGTGCCTAGTCCCTGCCTTACTCCCATTGGCAGTGGGAGGGTGAGTTCAAATGATAAGAGGAACACAAGTAATCAAAGCCCGTTCAACGGTGTTGCATCTGGTCTCAACGAGTCTTCTGATCTCGTCAATGCTTTATCTGGCTTGAGCCTGTCAGGCAGTGGCGGGTTAGATGAACGTGGTCAGGCTGAGCAAGATGTCGAAAAGGTCAGGAACTATATGTTTGGACTGCAAGGTGGGTATAATGAAGTCAATCAACATGGGTTCCCAAACAAATCTGATCAAGCCCATAAGGCAACTGGCTCGTTGAGGAATTCACAATCGAGAGGGTCACAAGGATCTGCCTATAATGATGGAGGTGGACTAGCTACTCAGTACCATCATCTTGATAGCCCAAACTATAGTCTGAACAATTATGGATTAAATCCAGCTGTAGCTTCTATGATGGCTAGCCAACTTGGGAATAGTAACTTTTCTCCAATGTATGAAAATGTTCCTGCTATGGGATTTTCTGGAATGGATTCCAGACTTCATGGGGGAGGTTATGTATCTTCTGGTCAAAACCTCTCTGAATCACGTAATCTTGGCAGACTCAGTAATCGAATGATGGGAGGAGGTGCTGGTCTCCAGTCACATATGGCAGACCCATATCATCAGTATGCGAGGTTCTCTGAAAATGCTGATTCGCTTGATCTTCTCAATGATCCTTCAATGGACATGAACTATATGGGTAATTCATACATGAATATGCTTGAACTCCAGAGGGCTTATCTTGGAGCTCAGAAATCACAGTATGGTATCCCTTACAAATCCGGGAGCCCTAACAGCCATAGCGATTATGGGAGTCCAACATTTGGGTCATATCCTGGCAGCCCATTGGCTCATCATCTTCTGCCAAATTCTCTTGTGTCACCCTGTAGCCCTATGAGACGAGGTGATGTTAATATGCGATATCCGTCTGCAACAAGAAACTATTCAGGAGGGGTAATGGGTTCTTGGCACATGGATGCTAGTTTGGATGAAGGCTTTGGATCTTCTATGCTTGAAGAGTTCAAAAGTAACAAAACAAGAGGATTCGAACTTTCTGAAATAGCTGGCCATGTTGTAGAGTTCAGGTATTTCCTTGAAAGTCTTTTACATTTTTTATTGTGTACAATTTGTCCCAAGCTAACACGTACTTGGGGTTTTTGATGACTAGTTCGGATCAATATGGAAGCCGGTTTATTCAGCAGAAACTCGAGACCGCAACAACTGATGAGAAAAACATGGTTTATGAGGAGATCATGCCACAAGCTCTTGCTCTGATGACTGACGTTTTTGGAAACTATGTGATTCAGAAGGTAGATTTATTTATTCTTCCTCTTTGGTTTTATTTTAGAGTTGAGATAAGAGATTCCTGAGTTTTGCTTATTTTCCTACAGTTCTTTGAGCATGGACTCCCGCCACAGAGGAGAGAATTGGCAGATAAACTCTTTGACAATGTTTTGCCTCTTAGCTTACAGATGTATGGTTGTCGTGTTATCCAGAAGGTAAAGTCTAGTTCTCACCTGTTTTGCTGTTCTCTATAAGTCTATCTTCGATTCTCTAAATGGCTTGTTATGTTTACAAGTCTATCTTTGATCCAGAACAGTTAAGAGTTTTGTTATGTTTGTGTTTATCTTTTTAGGCAATTGAGGTGGTTGATCTAGACCAGAAAATTAAAATGGTGAAAGAACTAGATGGACATGTGATGCGATGCGTACGTGATCAGAATGGGAACCATGTGGTTCAAAAGTGCATTGAATGTGTGCCTGAAGAAAACATCGAATTTATTATTTCCACTTTCTTTGGCAATGTTGTAACCCTCTCCACTCATCCATACGGGTGCCGAGTTATTCAGGTTCTTGCTCTTAGTAATAAAGAAAAATTACACATTTCTTGATCTTATGCTTCTAATTAAAACTCTTCTCGTCTTATGTTGCAGAGGGTATTGGAGCACTGCCATGACCCTGATACACAGAGTAAGGTTATGGATGAAATCATGTCCACTATTAGTATGCTGGCCCAAGATCAGTATGGAAACTATGTTATTCAGGTTTGTAATAAAAGCGTTAGACTGTATCTGGTTATTTTATATAGGTTACTCAAAAACTAATACATGTTTTGTTGACAGCATGTATTGGAACACGGGAAGCCTGATGAGCGTACTGTGATAATCAAGGAATTAGCGGGGAAGATTGTTCAGATGAGCCAACAGAAGTTTGCATCGAACGTTGTTGAGAAATGTTTGACTTTTGGAGGGCCAGAGGAACGGGAATTTCTGGTGAATGAGATGCTGGGCACAACTGATGAAAACGAGCCTCTTCAGGTTTGTCATACACATACTTTCAGATGGATTGTTGGGGAAAATAAAGAAACTTTTAGCTCATAAGCTTCTTCATCTTTTGTATATAGGCAATGATGAAGGATCAGTTTGCCAACTATGTAGTCCAAAAAGTTTTAGAGACATGTGATGACCAACAGCGTGAGCTGATACTTGGTCGTATTAAAGTGCATCTCAATGCTTTAAAGAAATACACTTATGGAAAGCATATCGTTGCTCGTGTTGAAAAACTCGTTGCTGCTGGAGGTATGTTATGTATAATATGTTCTTTGGGTCCAAAGTTTTGACCTTTATCTGCTACAAACCTCCCAAACTGTCTTTACTGCAATATATCTCATGTCAATGTCTCTAAGTGGTTTTTTTTCTCATTTGCAGAGAGGAGAATGGCTTTGCAGTCCCTAACCCAGCCTCAGATGGCGTGAGGCCGCAAGTGTTGTACAGCTTAACTAGGGTGGATGGCTCTGCCATAGCGTTTTGAGAATTAGGTAAGATCTAAACCGGAAATAATCTGCGGGAAAATTGTGAAGGAGAGCTTTGTTTTTCTCTGCAAGATCTGTAAAATTGTGTAGTTGCTTACGGTTTTTCTATACATAGAACCAAACATCCCACTTTAGGCTGATGAGTGTGAGAGAAAATATGAAGAGAATGGTGTAAAGATGGGCTGAGATATGGTGAGGATTTTAGGGTTTCCTTCACACGAATGAGAATGGCTTTTTCATTGCCAAATGTGTAGAAGTGAGAATATGTTCATGCTTTTAGGACAATCCCAGTTTTTAGAGCTTTTTCTCCATCTATGTAATTTGTTTCATGATTTCATCAAACTCTTGTTTCTGATTTCACGAGTAACTCTTTTGTTTCTGTAATTTTGCAATCTTGTTTATATCGATTAAGTCGCTTGATACACAAGAAACATATCATAGATGTGATGACAATAACAGAGCAACGTTACAAACAAAATCAATCTTTGTCCCTCTACTAACAATTAAACAAAATCATTCAAGATCAATGTCAATATCATCATCTTCAATCTTCTGACCAAAACCTCTTGGTCCAGTTTTGGCTTTCATTGCCTTCTTCTTCCCACCTTTCTTGGACTTCTTCGCTGCCTCATCTTTCTCAAACTTCTCTCTCTCCCTCTTCCCAAGGAACTCAGTCACTCCAATGTACACAACCTGTAATGATATAAAACCGGTTTAGAATCTCACAAACCGGGTTTCAGGTTTGGTTCTGTATTCTGATTTGACAAAGTTTATGGATAAGATTGGTTTTGTGGATATAAAACTTACACCAATGGTGAGAACAGTGAGAGCAAGAAATGCAACAAAGAGAAGCACTTGTATAATCAAAGCAACACCATCTTCTCCACCACTTGACACAATTGCTTCAGAAGATGAATCAGAAGAAACGATCTCTTGAGAAATTTCTTCCGGAGTTGCAGAGACTCTCCATAGTTGAGTTTTTTCCTTGTGAACTCGAAGAACCCTAGAAGACAAGATCTTTCTTCTTGAAACAGACCAAGTGAGTGGAGATATATGGTGAGTTTTAACTGGATGTTGGAATCTTGGTCTGAAATTTGAAAGAGATAGAGATGGTGTTGTTGTTGCAGACATCTTTCCGTCCACTCCCACTCTCTCTATCTCTTCAGATTCTGGACATAACCCACTGCTGTTTGGTTACATCCAACGGTTCATGTTTTCTTGAGATTGAGAACAGAATTAAAGAGATTGTACATGGGCCAAAAAAGGCCCAATCTATTATTTCGTGGGCCAAGGAAACTGGCATTGTTGGGACGAGACTTAAACAGTGAAACCTGACTAGATCTCATATCGTTGGGCCCTTGACTAAGGCCTATTATTTTGATACTCGTAACGGAAAAAATCATGAAAAATATCTCGAGTAATAATGTTCATATATTAAGGTTTTCCATTGAACACATAGTCGTTATCATGTGCAACTTTATACATACGATTTCAATCATCAAAAAAATCATCTTCCGAATGTGGAATTTCGTGTTAGATTTTCCAAGAAAATATCATGATTATAATGTGGAATTTTGAAATGAAGGGTTTCAAAGTTCAAAACAATCACGTAAAATTCTCATGGTCCATCCTCACAACTACTCTTTTTCTTTTTTTTTTTTTTTTTTTTTTTTACCCTATCCGCTATCCGGTCGGCCCCGGTAGGAACGCACCGAGGTGCTACAAAGTGGACTTGTCCACCGTGTTAACGGCTAGGCCCTTCGGGCTACCACTCTACCTATCCCGAGTTTGGAATGCCTTCCGACTAAGTGACAGGGGTAGTCAGGCCGCCTGCATTTCTGACTACCAGGTAAACCAATTGGACAAAAGCCCAACTGACAGACTACCCACAATAATGTTGATAACAGCATGTGGAGTCGAAGCCGGGGTGGAAGGAATCTCACCCAAACAACCAGGGCCCGCCAACCACTCGCCCACCACCATGTGGGTCTCACAACTACTCTTGGTTTATTATATATGTGACAATCATTTTTTTTTCCAGCAAATATGTGGCCTTCATTGAAGAAACTGATATCAAGAAATGGCTAAGACAGAAGAAAATTTTAGAGACAATTCTAGATGGAGCCTTGGAGGCATGACCGCTCTCGTAACCGGTGGCTCGAAAGGCCTCGGGTCAGTCTCAAATTCTCATACTCCACTTACTATCTTAATAATCCAATATGGAATCATATATTTATTATATATGGTCTTTGATTGTATTTCAATGTTTCAACCCGAATAAAAAAATGAAAAGTATTCTATGAATAGTAAAGCTATGGTGGAGGAGCTAGCCATGCTAGGAGCAAGAGTCCACACATGTGCCAGAGACGAAACTCAGCTTCAAGAACGCTTACGGGAATGGCAAGCCAAAGGGTTTCAGGTCACCACTTCCGTCTGCGACGTTTCTTCTCGTGACCAACGAGAAAAACTCATGGAAACCGTTTCCTCTATCTTCCAAGGAAAACTCAACATCCTTGTAAGTTTCTGTAAGAGCAGGATCCATATGTGTCTAAGAAAGAACTAGTGATGATGTTGTGTTTTACTTTTTTTATTGTGTTTGGTTTGGGCCTATTATACATATATATAGGTAAACAATGTGGGAACGTGTATAACAAAGCCGACCACAGAGTTTACAGCACAAGATTACTCATTTCTGATGGCTACGAATCTCGAGTCAGCTTTTCATCTCTCACAGCTCGCGCACCCTTTGTTGAAAGCCTCTCGATCAGGGAGCATCGTGCTCATGTCCTCCGCTGCAGGGGTTGTGCATATCAATGTTGGTTCCATCTATGGAGCAACTAAAGGTATATCTATACTCAAACTATCTATCTTTACTTTCCGAGAATAACATAAATGGGTGGCAGGAGCTATGAATCAGCTAGCAAAAAACTTAGCATGCGAGTGGGCAAGTGATAACATAAGGGTTAACTCTGTCTGTCCATGGTTTATAGCAACTCCTTTAGCTAACAATGTAAGGCAATAAGATCAGAAAAAGAAAAAAAAAACAAATATCTCCTTAATACTATGAAAATAAGAACAATTATTACATATGAATTTTAACTTATGCTAAAATCTCTTAATTAGTATCTCGATGATGAAGAGTTAAAGAAAGAAGTGGAGAGTAAGACACCAATGGGACGTGCTGGAAAAGCAAATGAAGTATCATCGCTTGTCGCATTTCTTTGTTTTCCGGCAGCTTCTTATATAACTGGTCAGACAATCTGCGTCGACGGAGGTGCCACGGTCAACGGCTTCTCTTTCAACCCTCTGCTTTAAAGCGTGAATTGTTTGTTTGCGTTTGTGTCTATGTTTCTTTATGTTTACTATGTATTTTGTCATATACAGTAATTCTCAAGTCTCAACCTGTAGCATCTTAAGCCTTCTTTTTGTTAATTATAAACAAAAGTAAAAAGAGATCTATTCAGTCTTCTAGAATCCATCATGTTGCTTTTTCGTTTGTAAGCACTCAGACGTTTGGATATTCAAAAAGAATCTCAACAATAAATTACTATTATTTTAATATAATTTAATAGGTAATTAAATTTTAGTTTTAGAAACAAAATTAAACTATTTATAAGATGATAAGTGGTTGGAAATTTTCTCATGAGTTTCTCATGTGTTCTCAAATGAGAAACGGTTCTCGCTCCTTTTCATCTTTTTTATGTAAGGAGTATCATGAAAAATCATTCGTGAACAACCGCAATATGTAATGTATGTAAACAAAATTCTCACGGATTAGCTCATTAGATCCGATTTATTTTAGTATAAAGTTGTTGAAAAAAAACATCATGAAAAATATCTTGGGTAATAATAATATTCATATATTAATGTTTAAGGTTTTTCATTGAACACAAATAGTCATTATCATATTCATAGCATGCAACTTTTTACAAGGTCAAAAAGTTATCTTAATGTGGAATTTTGAGATGAGACAAAGTTCAAAACAATCACGTAAAATTCTCATGGTCCAACCTGACAACTAGACTTGGTCAATGATATTCTCTATAAGAGTACTGTGATCTTCACTGCAGAAACTGATATCAAAAAATGGCTAAGACAGGAGAAAACTTGACAGACAAATCTAGATGGAGCCTTGGAGGCATGACCGCTCTTGTGACCGGTGGCTCCAAAGGCCTCGGGTCAGTCCCAGTTCTCCTAACTTGCCCACTTTCTCACTAGTTCAATGTTTCTCTCTTTTCAATCATATATATATTTTTGTGGATCTTTTGATGGTATGTTGATGTTATATCAACAAAACCCTGAAAAGAGAAAATCTTAATGATGGTATTGCATGTCTGCTATGAATAGAGAAGCTGTGGTGGAGGAACTAGCCATGTTGGGAGCAAGAGTCCACACATGTGCCAGAGACGAAACTCAGCTTCAAGAACGCTTACGTGAATGGCAAGCAAAAGGGTTTCAGGTCACCACTTCTGTATGCGACGTTTCTTCTCGTGACCAACGAGAGAAACTCATGGAAACCGTTTCCTCTATCTTCCAAGGAAAACTCAACATCCTCGTAAGTTGATGTATAATAAGATCCACATGGATCTGAGAAAAATCAAGTGATTTTGTTGTGTGTTTTATTGTGTTTGATTTGGGTGTATATATATAGGTAAACAATGCGGGAACCGGTATAACAAAGCCGACTACAGAGTTTACAGCACAAGATTACTCGTTTCTGATGGCTACAAATCTCGAGTCAGCTTTTCATATCTCACAGCTTGCTCATCCTTTATTAAAAGCTTCAAGTTTAGGGAGCATCGTGTTCATGTCCTCTGTTGCTGGACTTGTGCATACTGGTGCATCCATCTATGGAGCAACAAAAGGTATATGTATATATTCAAACAATTAATTAATAACTCCTCGCCATGTTATGAGACTTAACGAATATATTCAATTATTCATGTTTAGGAGCTATGAATCAGCTAGGAAGAAACTTAGCATGCGAGTGGGCAAGTGACAACATAAGGGTTAACTCTGTGTGTCCATGGGTCATAGCAACTCCTTTAGCCAGCGAAGTAAGGCAATTTATCATAAATATATACAAAGATCTCCTTGATGAAAATAAGAAAAAATATTAAAATTATTACATGTAAATTTTAACTTAAACCAAAGATTGTATATTATTACTTCTTAATTTTAATTTAAGTAAAAAAATCTCTCAGATTTTCAGTGATGAAGAGTTTAAAAAAGCAGTGGAGAGTAAGACACCAATGGGACGTGTTGGAAAAGCAAATGAGGTCTCATCGCTCGTGGCATTTCTCTGTTTTCCGGCAGCTTCTTATATAACGGGTCAGACTATCTGTGTCGATGGAGGTGCCTCGGTGAACGGCTTCTCTTTCAAGCCTCGACCATAAAACGTTGATTGTTTTTTTTCGTATGATGTTTCTTAATATTTACTGTGTTTCTTTTTGTGTCTTTGAAATAAACTCCCAACCTCTAGCATCTTAAGGAGATTTTGTTTTCTTATTGTTGATCATAAACAAAAATATAAGGAGACCTTTATCGCTAAAAGAATTGTTTTCGGTTCAAGAGTTTTAAAATCTTGTGTTTGAAACAAGAGTGAGCTAAAGAATACAAGTCAGCAACACTTACAAATGCCCGTTGCATCCGTTTTCAGGACGATCTATATACACGCATGTTTTGATCTAACATTGTATTTTTTGCGTTACAAGCAACAAAAAGAACCCTTACATTGCAAACACATTCATGTTACTAAGGAATCTCTAGCCTGTTATATATTAGAGGAACTGGCAGGCCTTGCGGCAACAAACATGTTCAGTGTTATGACAAAATATGAATTTCTACAAAATATTTTTATAACTCTCCAAAATATATTTCTAGGGTACGTCCATGTCAATTTTCCTTGTGTGATGATATTGTATGATAAATACTCTGCTCTGTGGTAAGGTAAGTGAAGAGTAAAGTTTTTTTTTAATCTAAACTAATTTCGTGAGAAGCTCCACTCAAACTGTCCCTTGTTTAGGTGTTTCATGATTAGGTACAGTTGTACAGAACTCTTGGTTTCCAGTTCGATGATGCTTCGTGACTGGTTTCTAGGTCGATAATGGTTAGTGATAGGTCTATGTAAGTTGATGGAGACAAATCCTAAACATTGGAAATTGTTGCAGTGTACCACATGCTATAGAATGGCGCTTTGTTGCATTGAATGATGTTGTTGGACATTGTTCATGTAATGCAATGTGAGTGGATTCATAGGATTAACAATTGCAGCAGATTCTCCATACTTGTAATGCAATGTAGGTCTCTAAACCGGTATCAAATCCTGACAATAGTGTGACACTGATACATATTGTGGTTTGGGGTTTAGATAGAAGAAACTGATCTATGCTCAAAACTGAAAATTTTAGAAACAGAAAAAAGTTTCTCGTGAAATAAACTGGGATTGTTCTAAAAAGCATTCTACACATTGGCACAAGAGCCATTCTTTTTGTACATGTGAAAGGAAAAACTCTAAAATCCTCACCATTTTTCTTTACACCATTCTCTGCCTTTTTCACTCACTCATCAGCCTAAGGGGGATGTTTGGTTCTATGTATAGTCAAAACGGTAAGAACCTACACAATGTACAGATTTTGCGGAGAACAAAACAAAGCTCTCTTTTATAATTTCTCCGCAGATTTTTGGTTTAGATCTTACCTAATTCTCAAAACGTTATGGCAGAGCCATCCACCCTAGTTAAGCTGTACAAGACTTGTGGCCTTACGCCACCAGAGGCTGGGTTAATGACTGCAAAGCCATTCTCCTCTCTGCATATAAGAAAACTCCACTTAGAGACATTGTAATGTGAATCCAAAAACAGTAAAACAACGCGGGGTTCTATATGGCGGCTCTATATAAAGGTTGAAACTTTGGATCCATAGAAGGGAAAGAACATGTGCATACCTCCAGCAGCAACGAGTTTTTCAACACGGGCAACGATATGCTTTCCATAAGTGTACTTCTTCAAAGCATTAAGATGCACCTTAATACGAGTAAGTATCAGTTCACGCTGTTGGTCATCGCATGTCTCAAGGACTTTTTGCACTACATAGTTTGCAAACTGATCCTTCATCATCGCCTATATAATTCACAAGAAGAAACATATGAGCTTATCAGTTTCTTTGTTCTCCTCTCCACAACCATCATCTGAAAGTATGTGTTTGACAAACCTGAAGAGGCTCATTTTCATCAGTTGTGCCAAGCATCTCATTCACGAGCAATTCCCGTTCCTCTGGCCCTCCAAAAGTCAAACATTTCTCAACAACGTTTGATGCAAACTTCTGCTGGCTCATCTGAACAATCTTTCCAGCTAACTCTTTGATTATCACGGTGCGCTCATCAGGCTTTCCATGCTCCAGTACATGCTGTCCACAAAACGTGTATCAGTTTTGAGCAAAGTATAAAAATCACCAGATGCAGTAAAACTCATATCTTTTACAAACCTGAACAACATAGTTTCCGTACTGATCTTGGGCCAACATACTAACAGTAGACAGGATTTCTTCCATAACCTTACTCTGCGTATCAGGGTCATGGCAGTGTTCCAATACTCTCTGCAACAGGAGATGAAAAAGAGTTTTACATAGAATCACAAGGGCAAGAAAGGTGCATCCATCTTTCCTTATTCCTAAAAGCCAGAACCTGAATAACACGGCAACCGTATGGGTGAGTGGAGAGGGTCACAACATGGCCAAAGAAAGTCGAAATAATAAACTCGATGTTTTCTTCAGGCACACATTCGATACACTTTTGAACCACATGGTTCCCATTCTGATCACGTACACATCGCATCACATGTCCATCAAGCTCTTTCACCATTTTAATTTTCTGGTCTAGATCAACCACCTCAATTGCCTAAAAAGGTAAACATAGAAAAATAATGAAACTCTAACTGTTCTTGAAAATAGAAGATAAGACTTATAGAGAACATTAAAACCGGTGATAACTAGACTTTACCTTCTGGATGACACGACAACCATACATCTGTAAGCTAAGAGGCAAAACATTGTCAATGAGTTTCTCGCCCAATTCTCTCCTCTGTGGTGGGAGTCCATGCTCAAAGAACTGTAGGAAGATAAGCAAAATTCAGGAATCTCTCATGTTACATTGTCTTAACTCCGAAAAGAAACTAAAGAGGAAGCCTAAATAGATCTACCTTCTGAATCACATAGTTTCCAAAAACGTCAGTCATCAGGGCTAGAGCTTGTGGCATGATCTCCTCATAAACCATGTTTTTCTCATCAGTTGTTGCTGTCTCGAGTTTCTGCTGAATAAACCGGCTCCCGTATTGATCCGAACTGGTCATGAAAAACCCCAAGTACGCGTTAACTTGGAATAAATTGTACACAAGTAAAAAGGTCAAAGACTATCAAGGGAATACCTGAACTCTACAACATGGCCAGCTATTTCAGAAAGTTCGAATCCTCTTGTTTTGTTACTTTTGAACTCTTCAAGCATTGAAGATCCAAAGCCTTCATCCAAACTAGCATCCATGTGCCAAGAACCCATTACCCCTCCGGAATAGTTTCTTGTTGCAGACGGATATCGCATATTAACTTCACCTCGTCTCATAGGGCTATAAGGTGACATAAGAGAATTTGGCATACCAGGATGAGCCAATGGGCTGCCAGGATATGACATATTAGACCCAAATGTTGGACTACCATAATAGCTATGGCTGTTAGGACTCCCTGATTTGTAAGGAAGACCATACTGTGATTTCTGAGCTCCGAGATAAGCCCTCTGAAGTTCAAGCATATTCATGTATGAATTACCCATATAGCTCCTGTCCATTGAAGGGTCATTAAGAAGATCAAACGAATCAGCATTTTCAGAGAACCTTGCATACTGATGATACATCGGGTCTGCAAGATGTGACTGGAGACCAGCACCTCCTCCCATCATTCGATTACCGACCCTACCAATATTTCGTGATTCAGAGAGGTTTTGACCAGAAGAAACAAAACCTCCACCATGAAGTCTTGAGTCCATTCCAGAAAATCCCATAGCAGATGCCGCAGAAGCATTTTCATACATTGGAGGATAGTTATTAGTTCCAAGTTGACTGGCCATCATAGAAGCTACAGCTGGATTTAATGCATAATAGTTTGGGCTATCAAGATGCTGGTAAGGATTAGCTAGTCCACTTCCACCATTGTAGGCGGATCCTTGTGACCCTCTCAGCTGTGAATTCCTCCAAGAAGCAGTTCCCTTAGGGGCTTGATCAGGTTTGTTTGGGAACCCATGTTGATTGACTTCATTATGCCCATCTTGCAGTCCAAACATATAGTTCCTGACCTTTTCGACATCATGCTCAGCTTGACTCCGTTCATCTAACCCGCCAGTTGCTGACAGGTTCAAGCCAGATAAAGCAGCGGCGAGATCAGAAGACTCGTTGAGACCAGATGTAACACCGTTAAACGGGCTTTGATTACTTGTGTTCCTCTTATCATTTGAACTCACTCTCCCACTCCCAATTGGGGTAAGACAGGGACTAGGCACCCTAACAACGCCCTGTTGATCTGGAGTTCCATTTCTAGACAAAGACGAACCCAGAACAGCTGCATAGCTGTATGGAGATGGCGCTCCAATGCCTTGTGATGCAGATGGAGACAGATTATTCTTAGAGTCAACATTTTCATCAAAGGTATTACGACTTGCAGGACGTGAGGGCTGCTGAGAGACAGGATGTCCATGCCCCATATCGGCCTGCACAAAAGCAATCCACAAAGTTTACATAAGCAAGAATATCTGCTGCATAGCTGTACAGAGAAATACACACATACAGAGGGAATTATCTCAGAGAGAAAACATTAACAAATTATCACCAACCTGAAAGATATCAGCAAAACTCTTCTGCTTGCCTCCAAGCCCCAAACCCGGCAAACCGATCAATCCATTAGCATCCCACTCAGAAGCAGAAGCACCAGTTTTCTCAGCCTCAAAACCAGGTGGCATAGAGAACAAAGATCGACTATCATTAACTTTTCTCCTATCCCCAACACCACCTAAAACATTACTACTCCCTTTAAGCCTCTGAGCAACCCTCAAATCCTCCCTAGACATCAAAGGCGGTGGCAACCTCGGATTCAACTTCATATTAGCATAGTAATAAGACAAGTAAGCCGGATCTTTCCTAAACTCCTCATCATCACCACCAAACCCATTACCCTTATTGCCTCCACCAAACTCCAAAAAAGGAGTCCCACCTCCGCCGCTAAAGAGCCCTCCGGCAGCACTAACAGAGCCATCAACAGTCGGTGGAGCAGAGCCACTTCTATACAAGTTAAGCTCTCTCTCAAGCTCATCAGCTTCTACTTGCCTTCTCTGCTGCTCACCAAGCAATACTCCAATCTCTTTCTCATAATCATCCCCGAACGATGAATCTTCGTTACCTCTATGCATCGGTCTTCTTCCTAGTTCCGGTATCATCATCACCTAAACAACAAGAAACCCTCAAAATCAATTACGCTAAAAATCCTAAAGATCACACCTTTATAACCCAAAACTAAACCCAAAGATCAAAACTTTAAACAGTACTCAAAATCCAATCTCCATGTATTACTGTCGTTTTCAATTAAAAAAACAAAACCCTAACACAATGATCAGATGAAAAATAGAAAAATCGAAGCTTTACGAAGAAATTGAGTTTTATAGAGAGTTAGAAGAAAGAAAAAAATCGACGGCGATGTAAGAAAACCCTTAGGGTTTTTGTGAAATTAAAAAAAAAAAAAAAGAATTACTGTGAATCTTTATTAGGGTTGTTGTTGATCTGACCTAGTGATTGCATAAGGAATGAAAAAATATAAAAGCTTTAATTTTAAAAAATAAAAATTAAATCAGACCAAACTTATTAATGTCTTTTGTGTTTCAGAGAGAGCTGAGGAATCTCAGACTCACACGTTTGGAGCTGCTTTGTTCTGTGTTTCAGTTTTGGGTTTAAGGACACAGCTTTAACAAAGTACAACACTTCAAGATTATACGATTCTTCATGATTTATTTTTATATATTTATATAAAGATCTTTACTTAGTTTCTTCACATATTTATAATTTAGGAAATTTACATATTTAGCGAGAGATGATATATACATAAATGTTAACATTCTTTATAAGAAAATATACTCAAAGATCTTCCTATTTATATTTTTTTTTTTAAATTGTAATCTATTTTTTCGTCATTTAAATTGGATTAAAGTTCGGAATTTATTTTTAAAATATGAATTATAAGCTATTTAGTCCAGCTGTTGTTTTTATTTTTCTGACTAGATATTAATGGAATCATACTATTTCTGTTTCTCTGTTTTTTGACATGATTCAGATTGATTCACCAAAAACAGAAATAAATAAAAGGTGTGAAAATCTGAAACACAAAATCCATTGGATTTGCATGTTCTCTCTGTAGTATAGTTTCTGTTATAAATGCTCTTTTTTGAAGTAAAACCAAATACCAAAAGGTAAACATTGTGAGTTTTCAGAAAATGGAAGTCTTTCTTTATTTTTTACTTTGTTACCACCAACTATCACTTTTCATCTTTTAATGTATTTATTTCCTAATTTGGAGATTAAAATTTGGTCACTAGTCAAACATCTCTCTTTAAATGTATCAATTTAATGGCATTATTCCGGTTAAAATGTTGTCCATAACGGTTAGAATGAGAGTAATGTGATTAAATTAAGAAAGGTATCTTTGGTCATCGATCGTGCTTGGTCATGATTGCTCTCCGAAGTCCACGAGTCGGCGTGCGAATCGGTGTTGGTCTTATACGGGTAAAATGAAAGATTATCAGAACATTTATTTACTTAAATTTCATATATGGGCTATAGTTTGTGTATTATTTTGCATCCCATTTTATAAATTTGTATAGTTATAAGGCCCAATGAACTCGGCCTTATAAGTTATAATTCGAATACAACCATTTGCATCTTTATGATATTCGTTGGTTTTGGTCCTTTTGGAAGACACCAATATTCAGGCTATACAATTCTTCTTTTTCTTATGATTAGTTGATATTCTCCTTCTCATCGAATAATACTCATATTATTTTATAAATTTCAAAGTCAAGCGTCATTATAATGGCTAAATTTACACAATGAAACACTAGAAGAGAAACTTTGTTTTTGGAGATATACCTATTGATCGAATCATGTTAGTAATTGAATTAGCAAACGAAACATTGTCGTAACAGTTTTTTTTTTTTTTTGAGGTCAATGACGGAAATTTTATGTTATCTTGTAGATGAGTTTTCAATTTTTCATTAATATTTCAACAGTGGCAACTGGCAACCCATTATGGAAATAACAGTGGAAAGACTCGAACTCCTATATATCTTAATGTTATGATAAATCTTTCAATCATTGAACTACCATGAGTTGGTTAGTAAATTGTGCATGATCAATTTTTCGTAAAACCAATTTCCAAATAAATTAATGATAAATTTACTTTACAAGCATACTATAGTAAAGTAATTCATTCTTTCAGAAAACAAAAAGTTATGTAGTTACACGATTTGCTAATGTTAATCGATACAAACAGAAATGTTAAGAATGGAACAGTAAAGGAAAAGGGTTGAGGTTGGTAAACCTACAAGGCTATACAACTAACGACCAACATTATTATGTTCTTTCTTACTTTTGGTAAAACCATGATTCTAATTCCTCATCATCATTTACCAATATCACTTTAGCCTTAAATAATACCATCTCTCTCGTTTATTAGTTACGTACTTTGTGCTTAACTTGTATTTAAAATTTGGTTGTTAGCAAATTTAGCAAACATTCATGAGACGTGTAAAAAAGCCGGAAAATAAATTTATAGACGTTATCTCGAGAGTATCATGATTTAGAGAAATCGAAACTCGTTAAGAATTTGGTGTCTCGTTTATATTTGTATTTCTATTATTTTTTTCTTCATTAACAGACAAAAAAAACGTTCAGATCATTTTATCACAAACTATGTGCAAGTTACTCGAAGCTGAATTCGCAAGAACCTTCTGGCCACCTATTAATTAGATATTTTTGCAAATCATATACTTTTTTACTCTTTAATTTTTTTTCCTGCTATGAGCAAGACACCAATCTTAACTTACATTTCAAACATTCCTAATTAAGTTCGATGATTTCATATAGTCAAATGAGATAAAAGGAATTGAAGTTAGTAATCTCACCAAATTTAAACATCGATCGGATGCACCATCTTAATTGTAAAGTTACCAAATATCTAGAAAAAAGGAGATAATGAGACTGATAAACAGTAGATTTGCCAAGTGAAGCTGAATCCAACGGTCGTTGTCTTATGTTGCTTGAAAGGAATGGCTGAATTGGGTGAAGTGTCAAAGAGAAAGAGAGAGTCTTCCAAGAGACTGTGAAGATCCTTAAGCTTAGATTCACTCAAGACTCTCTTTTTGTTGGAATATATGTTTTCAAACAACCAACGTACACGTCCCAATCCTCTATATCATCCCTGCTTACTATAATAATATATTACTGAACTCGTTAATTACTTATCTTAATTTAGTATCGCCACATATATATACAGATATACTACATATTTTACATCTTTTCAAGTTTTGATATCCCAAAAATTTAAAAGTAAAATAAAGTTAAAAGTAAAATATATAAATTAAATTGGTAATTTCTAATTGTTTAACTAAAAATTTGATCTAATTTTTTAAAAAATCTCATAACAATTTTTCAAAATTCATTTTTAATTTTTAATCATCTACGAGATCAAAGATAATAAACTTCAACGAATAAGAGCATTGATGTAGTTATCTTTTTACTATGTAAAATTGCTTAACTCATAGTTTTTTTTTCTCTTATACGACAGTAATGAGTCTTCTTCATTATGAATAAATCACTAACTACTAAATCAGTTTTTTTAATATAACAAATTCCTCAAAATACCACACTCACAAGTTTTGTTTCTAAAAATACCACTATTAGTGTAATGTTCCAAAAATAACACCAATAGTTTTGGTTTTCCAAAAATACCACAAACACAAAAATTGATTTTCCAGGGTTGAGAATTTAAAACTTTTAGGTTTGGGTTTACTATATTAGATTTAGGGTAGGGTTTAGTATTTAGAGTCTAGTTCTTGAATTTTAGGATTTAATTTTGAAGGTTTGAAGTTAAATTTAGTTTTATGGTATTGGTGGAAAACCAAAACTTATGTGTAGTATTTTTGAGAATTGCCCTTTTTTATTTATTAAATGATGTTTTCATAAGTCTTTTTGTTCAAAAGTAATCAAGTGCTATATTATCAAATTTATAAGCACGATAATAATTCTCTTTCTATTAAATATCCTTATAATAAAACTAACAAATGAGCTATCAGAAATTATAAAATATGTATAGTTTGTATAGTTTAGTCAATTAATAATTTCTTTAATATAATGCATTCCACTAAAATATCACTCCCTTAAAAACAGATAGGATTCTTTTTGTTGTCTCGATTATGTGGTGGTATCTAATATTTTTAATAAATTATCATTTTCTTGGAACGAAATATGTAGAGCTATAAATCTAATCATCAAAGTTAATAAAGCACACATTTATTTAACTTCGAATTCACTCGGTTTTGTCCAACAATTGGACCAACTATAACATCAACACTAAATCATCACTTATCCAAATACACTACACTTTATTTATTTTTGTTACCAACCATTAACCCTACCATTTGCTTCTCTCCCTTATATATGCACAACATTCTCCCTCTATTTTCAAATACACCACTTACCAGAAAATGATATAAAGAGAAAACCATATTTCATACAGAAAATTACTGAATATAAAACATATATCTTTCCTTCAATATTCAAACAAATATTGAACATGGTTACGTGGGTTTTGCATTATCTTCTCGTGGCATTTCTGATTGCCATTAGTTACGACATCGATGCAGCATCTGCAGGAATCACGCGGCACTACCAGTTCGATGTAATATTATTAATTCGTCTCACTTTGAGACCAAATATATATTAGTTATGTTCTCTATTTACAAATATTTTTAAATCACTTATTCTATTTTTTCGTTCGGCAGATTCAACTGAAAAACATCACAAGATTGTGCAAGACAAAAACAATCGTGACGGTCAACGGAAAATTCCCAGGACCTAAGGTTACCGCAAGAGAAGGAGATAATCTACAGATCAAAGTTGTTAATCATGTCTCTAATAACATTTCTATCCACTGGTAAATTACTAATTTCTTATAGTCTTGTAGTGATAATATATTTTTAACTTTTGTTTGATACACTGAGCCTCATAATAAAATAGATGAATGTATAAATATAGGCACGGTATCCGGCAGCTAAGGAGCGGATGGGCGGATGGACCATCGTATGTGACACAATGTCCAATTCGGACCGGACAAAGTTATGTTTACAACTTCACGGTGACTGGACAAAGAGGAACCTTGTGGTGGCATGCTCATATTCAATGGATGAGAGCTACCGTGTACGGACCTTTGATCATTCTCCCTAAACTCCATCAGCCTTACCCTTTTCCCAAACCCTACAAACAAGTCCCTATAATGTTTGGTAATTATCTTCGTACAGTAACTTTTTTTTACCTTACATATGACTAATGAGTGCCAAATACTGATCAATGTTCTAGAAACTTAACCGATAAAACCTATCTTTAAGCAGTCGAAACTCGAAAGTATTTGGATGCTCTGATTTTGATCAAATCGGTCAACAAAAAAAAATCAATGTGCATGTTGTCAAAAAAGGTAGAACATCGGTTATGATTAAAGGATTGATAAATTGATGTTTTAAATTTGTGTATAGGTGAATGGTTTAATGCTGATCCTCAAGCAGTTTTACAACAAGCTCTTCAGACGGGTGCAGGCCCAAATGCTTCTGATGCTCATACTTTTAATGGGCTTCCAGGTCCATTATACAATTGCTCTACAAAAGGTAATGATCATCTTTTTTAAGTCATGTTCAAAACAAGAAGCCAATTTTTGTAACACTTAAACGCACATATTTATTAGATACGTACAAACTGATGGTGAAACCTGGAAAGACGTATCTACTACGACTGATCAATGCTGCACTCAATGACGAACTCTTCTTCACCATAGCCAACCATACATTGACTGTCGTCGAAGCTGATGCTTGTTACGTTAAACCATTCCAAACAAAAATCGTGCTTCTTGGTCCGGGCCAAACTACCAACGTACTACTCAAAACCAAACCTATTTATCCAAATGCAACCTTTTACATGTTGGCAAGACCGTACTTCACGGGCCAAGGAACAATTGATAATACAACCGTCGCGGGAATTCTCCAATACCAACATCATTCCAAGTCTTCTAAGAATCTTTCTATTATTAAACCATCTCTTCCTCCCATCAATAGTACGAGCTACGCCGCGAATTTCACAAAGATGTTTAGAAGTTTGGCAAGTTCTACATTTCCGGCAAACGTGCCAAAAATCGTGGACAAAAAATATTTCTTCACCGTCGGTTTAGGAACCAACCCTTGTCCTAAAAACCAAACATGCCAAGGACCAACTAATACAACGAAATTTGCAGCATCTATCAACAATGTGTCTTTCATCTTACCAAACAAGACTTCTCTATTACAATCATACTTCGTTGGCAAGTCCAACAATGTTTTCATGACCGATTTCCCAACTGCCCCTATTTTTCCATTTAATTACACGGGGACGCCACCAAACAACACAATGGTCTCAAGAGGGACCAAAGTTGTGGTCTTGAAGTACAACACAACTGTTGAATTGGTGTTACAGGGCACTAGCATCTTGGGTATTGAGGCCCACCCTATACATCTTCATGGCTTCAACTTTTATGTGGTGGGACAAGGCTTCGGCAATTTTAACCCGGCCCGTGATCCAAAGCAATATAATCTAGTCGATCCGGTCGAACGAAACACCATCAGTGTCCCTTCCGGTGGTTGGGTCGCCATCCGCTTCCTCGCCGATAATCCCGGTAAGGGTTTACGGTTTTTTTTTCTTTTGTCAATAACACTAATTTTAATGATTAATAGTATTCACAAACTATATGTTTTATTCTAATAATTGTTTGATGGTGATAGGTGTGTGGCTGATGCATTGCCACATTGAGATTCATTTGAGTTGGGGTCTGACCATGGCTTGGGTGGTTTTGGACGGTGACCTTCCAAATCAGAAACTCCTTCCTCCACCCTCAGATTTCCCTAAATGTTGACTCTGACCGATCCAACGCCTCTGCAAATGCCACATCACCTTTTTTTCTTTCCTCTTTAATACTTTTGTGTTTTGAGATTTCTGAACTTTTTTGGTTTTGTATTCTCTTTCTTGATTTCTTCTTGTAAAAAGAGTGAACTGAAGAGCTATGGTCGTGTTAGTAATTTCTCTGTACGATATTTTGACGCAAAATAATTATAATTGTAAAGTTTTGTAATAATCGAAAAAGGCATTAGCACAAATCTGCAATGCTCGTGATCTTTTTTTTATTAAACATAACGTTTTTGTTAATGATAATGACAAAAGATGTAGTCGTTGAAAACTTTTCATTGGATTCCCAATATAGTATTCCAAACTTTCTTTCCCTAATAAAGTGAAAAGATAGATTTCATTTCATGTCAATAATGCCGACTAGTTTCTAAGTACGTAACTGTTTATACATAATATAGTAAAGTAATTTGATTCTAAGTTTTTGTAGAAATAAAATGTGGACATATATTTTGATACTAACAAATTTTCATTTGTCAAGAGGGAATCTTTCTTCTATCAAAGAGACAAAATCCCAGAAAGCAAACAGAAAAATACTGCCACCAAATACTGCCATAAAATGCAAAAAGGAATAAAATAATAAATTAAATAAAGCTAAGAAAAAACAAAATTCGAGTAGAGTTCCAGACATTATTGGTGTTTGCAAGATCTATAGCATCATGCCATTATTTTGATAATATTCTTATCATCATTATATTGACATTAACTGGACTCCATTATCGTCTCGTAATCAATAATAAGTTAAAAGAAAAGCTTCAGATCTTTGACCAGATGATATGAATCATGACTTCATTTTAAAATGATTAAGATATCAAATAGTAGCAATATTATTTATAAAAACATTAAATTGAAGATTTAGTTTGTTAAACCATCCTTAAATTGTTTCACTTCTTTTTCCAGAGACCTTGAAAATGACTATTCAGTGTAAATCTTAACAAAAACACTGTACTTCATGATACACTAATCCTCCAGATATTGCATTTTAATATTTGAAATCTAAACAAAGACATCAATCATTCATTTCTTAATGTAAATAGTAAATACTTGCATTAATGATACATATACACACATATCTATGATTGTGTATATATGTAGCATATGCAAGTCATATAATTGAAAAAATGAGCATAGAAACCCTAATTTGCTTTAACAAAATCTCTTCTTACAATGTACTTGTATGGAAACCCTTAATAATCAAACTGATCTAATTACAAGGAAACAAAAAAAAAAGGAAGAAGAAGATGAAGATCTAATTAAGAATCTCCATGTTTGTGCCAACAAACAAGCATAGCCACACACCTTCTCATGATGTAAAACCTTGCCTTCTGTTCTTTAGCCAAGCTGCTATATTTCTGAGTGATAGAAGAAGATGATGAAGAAGAAGATCTTCTCTCTTTTCTTGAGAAGCTTCTTGAGATTGAAGAGGAAGAAGAAGAGGAAGAGGAGGAAGAAGGAACAGAGCATTTGGTAGAGGAACTCCGTACGAATATTGGAGACTTTGTGGAGGAAGCACTTGTTGAGAAGCTTCTAGAAAACTTTGACTTAGAGGAGGAAGAAGAAGCTGTTGTCTCTTTCTTCGACAGCTTCCACTTCTCCTCCATCAATAATGTGTGCTTCTGCAGAGAGATTCGGTTTCAGATTCAGATGAGTGTGTCTAAGTGTATATTTGATTGTGAGTTTGTGGTGATTGAACTCGAGGAAGAGATAGTGATTCAGAGAGAGAGAGAGAAAGCGAGAGAAGTAGAGAGAGTGAGAGTGTCTATTTGCGTATTATACTTGTAATGAATCAATGGAGATAATCACACATGGCAGAAAAAAAATCAATGGAAAAAAATGAAAATTCTGTTATTATATTTTAATATTTGATTAGCTCTTCATGAGGTATGAACTTACTTTTCCGTCGAGTTAGCTACTATTTTTTTGGCGTCGAGTTAAGAACTATTTAGTGTCCACTTGTTTTAAACTATCTAAATTTCTTATGCTACTACTATAGTCTATAAATTTGATGTTATGCAGTATTTGGTTCAACTATGACAAAATATCAGTAGAAATAGTTTGACTAGCTTGTAACTAAACCACGTCTATGTTTTTTTCCAACAAAATTAGTAGTTTCCAAAAAGTAAATTAATGGTTTCCAAAAAGTTGTTTATCCTATAGCTAGAAAAGTTAATCTCAAAAGGTGGTGTACTTAACATCTTTTTACACTATTTACGGTAACATTTTCTATACACCTTTTTTTGTCGGCATCTTCTCTAGTTACGTTATAATGTATAGGTTTAAATAGGAAAAATATGTGTTATGAAAAAATTATGAATATCTTATGGCAAATGGCAATGAGTTTTTTTTGGGGGTATACAGAATCCACAAGGTTTGGGGATGTGGGCTTTTACATAGCGTTGACGATATAATTAATGATTTGATTAATGGAATTGTATTAGTTATATAAAGTAAATTGTTTCCATAACTAACGTGGAAAATTCCGATTCGCTAGATCTTATAGTACTCGAGGTCTTATTCTTACTACCACAAGATCTATCTACACATTGTCGAAATCCTCTTCTTGAGATTTGCCATTAATGTTGGAGGAACCAATGTCGTACGTTTATATAATGTATAATTTAATAAGACATACATCTCTATATATAGTAATATAGTATATATATATGATGCACAATCATAATCTTTCATTTAAAGTCGTCACATGAGAGAGATCCCAACATGGAGCACGAGAAAATTTATCGGTATTGCCTTCATATCAGTGTGTATATCAGTATATGTAGGCATCTATATGTTTTATTTATAATTTATATGTTTGAAATAATTTACATTAATAGGGATCCCAATATATTATTGCCATAGTGGGACAGGAATCACAAGAAATAATGTGGAGGAGGAATATAATAATTATAAAGAAATTAATGGTCTAGTAGTAGAGTTAAAATTCCGCAATATGAACAAGAATCATATAGACGAGTCAAATTTAGAATACCAGGCCAATAGAGAGAATATTCCGGATAAAGCTTAAATATTCCGCCTACTACCATGCTTTTTAGTAAAACTAATACTCTCTTCATTTCATTTTCTAAAAAATTAAAATTGCAAAAACTAAATTTAAAATATCATTGCAAATTAAACATTTAAACCAAAATCTAGAAATTTTAGTGATCCAAGTAAAGTGATTTTGTTTCCGTAGATATCGACCTCAAAAGCATTAAGGTCAGAAAGGTGCAATTTCTTTTAGGAGGTTCAACTAGGAATGTGTTTTTAGTAAAGTGGTTAAGTCCATTTGACTCTATCTTCTATATCGGAGTTCAATTTCACTAAATCATGTTCCTCCGCATAATAAGGATTAACTATGAATCGAACTTTATCGATCCAAAGATGTAAAAAAAAAAGTTCGGAAGTTCAACTACCACTTTAGTTTGAAAAAATACTACAAAAACGTAAATACTTAAACATTTTCGTGTATAGTAAAACCAAAAGAAGTAGAATCACAATTCAAAAAATTGAAAACTTGAAAAAGTCTGTATACCCATTCATGACCAGTATAGAACCAATGTTGTCTACAATAATTGTAAGGCCATTATTTTCAAATATTGGAAACTAATTTTTTTATAAAATAAGGTATTATTGTGTAGGGGTTGGAGAGGAGGGGCAAAGGGTGATGGAAAGATAGGCGTTGCTCATGATAATGATTTTAAAAGATAGGAAGAGTAGACAGGTTTGGTCTAAAATTATTCTACATGTTTTTTTCACTTATGTCTTCAAACCAGCCTGGATTTACGCAAAAAAAAGAACCCACACTAAATTTGTCCCCATTTTCTTGTTTTGTATTTCTTATCTTCCACATATTTTAATTCCGCTTTTTCTAAACCCTAAAAATCAATTGTAATTTGATCATACATGACGGATTTTCAAACTCGTATGAACGAACAAATCGTTTGCTTAAATTAACGAACACCCCACATACATATACAGTACATCTTTTTGTCGAAACTGACACCTTACCTATATATAGTAACACGATTTTGTATTCTACATTTATATATTTATGTGTTAATAAGGACATAATTTATCCATATTGATATAAATCATAATAATAAATCACAAATATCTAGTAATGTCACTACAACATGGTACGCTTAGAAGTTAAGTACGACTCATTTCGAACCTCATAAATGTAACAACATTAGAGTGATTGCATAATACAGTTAGAACTATCATCGGTTAACGAAATGATAGACTATCTATAAAGTTAACTTTATGCTTGTTATTCAAGCGAATAAACTTGAAGAAATGCATAAATCAATCTTAAAACTTAATAGATTATGGCAAGAGAGAAAATGGCAAGAGCACAAGGTTCTTTATTCTTCCATTTAAGCACATCGGATCCGGATTGACTTTCTTAGAAGAAAATCTCCGTCCGATTACTTAATAAAATGGTGTTTGGCGAAAAAAAAAACTTAATAGATTATGGTTTTCGATTGTTTCAAACTATTATTTTTTGGCGTCTATGAGAAATAGTTTAACAAAAATTACCATATTTTAAGACACAACAAAAAGTATGCACTTTTTATTAGGGGTATTTTGGAAACATGTACTTTTCATTTTTTTTATGGAAATATAAAATCATCGATAGAATAGTAAACTCTAAACATAGTAACGGATAAATCCAGATGGGAAATTGTTGTCTGTTACATTACTTGAATTTTATAAAGTCTTCTACTCAAAATTTACATGAAAAAGTGCATTTCTCATAGTTATAATTAATTTAAGAATCAATTATGAGAAAGCCACTTTTAGGAGCGGCATTTGTTTGTTTTGCCATTTTTTAAATAGTTTGTGGATTTGTCATTTTTAGTCGATAAAAAATGCGATTTAACATGTATTTTATTCGTTATATTTGGGTTTATTCTGTTCTATTTGTTCTTAAGTTTTTGTATTTGGTATAAAATACATATTTTGCAAAACAAAATCGTAAATACTTACATTTTTAAGTGTTAAAAATGGCAAATCCGTAAGATTCTAGTAAAAATAGAATTTTCGTAAGATTTTTTTTTTAAATGGCATTTTCTACAAAACCACTTAATTTAATTAAGATATTACGAACTAGTGTAACTGTATAAGGGATTTGATCTAAAAACTATTAGTTCGGTTTATACAAGCAATGAATCTTAAAAAAAAAAA